AGCCTCTTTTATAGAGCTTTCTAAAAAATCTTCTGAGATTTACTCTGGTTGATCTACACCTTAAATCAATTTTTTTTTTTTAGTTGTCAATAGACCTTTATTTTATTTATCTACATGCAGTGCTGACAACGGAACCCAGTGTGTCTCATACATGCTAGGCAGGCACTCTATCACTGAGCCAACACCCCAGCTCCCATCAATCAGTTTTACCAACAGAAGACAATGTGCTGATTGGCTTAAACCTGGGTCACATGGTCCATCTTAAATGGACCTGTTGTTGAGAGTGGATGCTACTTTGCCGGTGGAAATGGCGCTGGTGCTAGGGATGGCATTTAGGGCCTCAGGCAACCCAGGCAAACACTGGACCACTTAGCCACATCTCCCTGCTGAGAGTGGATGCTAAAAACACAATCAATAAATATCTACTTTACCCAAAGTGATCTTTTTGAAAATGCCCAGAAAGAACCAGGTGGTAGAAAATACCTGACTCAGGGCCAATCCAACCCCAAGAGTGGAAAAATAAAACCCACTTCTTGAGAAGCTAGATGTTGTTCTGATATAGCATTACATTTTGTAAGAAGCCGTTTCTAACTCGGGTGCCAAGGCGAAGGTTTTCCTTCTCATCAACAGAAGACTTCTGAGAAGGTAAATGTCAAAACCACCCCTTTTTCCACGCTTCATCTGAATGACCAGTCTTGCAACATCACTTCCCCATCCTCTTTAACTGGGTGTCATTTTGTCTCCTGCTTTAGGCTATTCCCCTCACGTGGCAAAGGAAATATCTGGCTTCTTGATTATATCAATTTCAAATGTCTTTGGTAGTACAAAAGTATTGCTTTAAACACGTGTGTGTATGTGTGTGTGTGTGTGTGTGTGTGTGTGTGTGTGTGTGGTGGGGGGTATTCATGTTTCACAACTGGAAGCCCAGGAGAGAAAAAAAATCAGGAGCTGATACAATGCTACAGGAATCCCGGCTATGTATAGGTGTCTAGTCCATGATCCTAGCATATGATCCCATCTCAGATCCGTCTCTCCTGGTTGCAAGATGGCTGTTGTACCTTCTGCCTCGTGGTCACAGTCCAGTCAGAAAGCAAGAGAGAAAGGTCAAGGCTTTTTCACCTTTTTATTTGGGAAGTGTTAAATGATACATTTTTAAAAGGATAAAAACATAGCTCTTATCCAATTATAATAATAAACACATGCCAAAGGTTTTATTTCACACCTTAATCAGTAAGGGAATCAGTAGAATGTTAAAACCAATTCAAAGGGCTGGGGTTGTGGCTCAGTGGTAGAGTGCTTGCATAGCACATATGAAGCGCTGGGCTCAATCCTCAGCACCACATAAAAATAAATAATCAAAAATAAAGGCATTGGGAGCTGTGGCTGTGGTAGAGCATTTGAAGGAGGGGCTGTGGTAGAGCATTTGCCTAGCAAATTTGTGAGGCACTGGGTTCAATCCTCAGCACTACATAAATAAGTAAAATAAAGGTATTGTGTCCATCTATAACTAAAAAAATATACAAAAATAAGTAAATAAATAAAGGTATTGTGTCTGTCTACAACAACAAAATTTTAAAAAGAGAGCCGAAAGACAATATATCCTGAAAAAATTAAAGAATTAAAAAAAAACATAGGCAATTTTACTTAAAAATACATATATATTCATAAGCAACCAGGAATGCTGAAATGAATTTCCACATAGATGGAAAACCAGTTGGTGGCATCAGAGTTGTAATTGCAGCTCTTTCAGATGCAATTCATTTGCATTTCTATGGACAAGAGCCAGTGCAATTACTACCAGTATTCTACAACTTACAAAATTATAAAATAACACAGTGCTGAGGTAGAGATTTCCATCATCACCCATAGGCTAGAGACTAGATCCAGAGAGAGTGCTATGCAAAAGCCCAGAGGCTAATTCCCTAAGGATGCAAAGAGAGAATGGAGATACTATTCAAGGGGGTGGGTAGGATGGGTGGGAAGGGGACTGGCTCCCATTACAGTTTCCCAGTGACTGAACCTGGCCAGATGCTAAGAAAGAAGGAGGTCTGGGAGAGTAGCCTACAGGGTCAGCACCTGATTTTGTACAAAGTAGAGCAGGAAAAGGGTGAGGAATGAAACTAAAGATATGGGTCTGTTATGCAGGACTGGTCACCTCTTCAAATTTCATCACATCTAAGATGCCCTTGATTGGAGCATGCACCATTATATTATGTAYCAGTATGAAAGAAAAACGCTGCCAACTAAACTGGCACAATGCTAATTAATACTGCATTGCAGGACTGGGGTGGTGGCTCAGTGGTAGAGCGCTTGCCTAGCACTTGTGAGGCACTGAGTTCAATTTTCAGCACAAAGAAAGAAAGAAAGAAATGAACGAATTGTGTACATTTACAACTAAAAAAGAAAGAAAGAAAGAAAGAAAAAAACTGCATTGCAGGGTTGGGGATGTAGTTCAGTGGTAGAGCACTTGCCTCACATGTGTGAGGCCCTGGGTTTGATCTCCAACAGCAGCCCCCCCACCCCACATACACAAAAAGACTGCATTGTAATGCATCTTGAAATGTTGAAATGGGGGCGATGGGAAAGGTTGATTAATGGGTACTAAGTAACAGGAGTAAGACATTCTGGAATGCTATTGCACAGTAGTCTCAGTAGGGTAACTACAGATAACAATGATGTGCTGTATTTCCAAAAGCTAGAAGAAAGGATTTTGAATGTCATCACTATAAAGAAATGATAAATGTTTGAGGTAGATATGTTTAACCTGATTTACACATCACACAATGCTATATGTATTGAAATGTCACATGCTACCCAGTTAGTATGCACAATTTTCTTTCTACGTACCTTACACAATTTTAATTTGAATAAAAAATAAAGTGATGATCAAAAAATCATGAAATGTGAAACATGTGTATCTTAAGATCAATWACAGGGGCTGGGGATGTGGCTCAAGYGGTAACGTGCTGGCCTGGCATGTGCGGAGTGCTGGGTTCAGCACCACATTAAAAATAAAATAAAGATGTTGTGTCCACTGAAAACTACAAAATAAATATTTAAAAAAATCAATAGCATACTATTTGCATGTGATTTTTATCTTTTTGTGCTACTGGGGATTGAAACTAGGGGTCTTGCACATACTAGGCAAGTTCTCTACCACAGAGCTACACCCCAGCCCTGCTGTGTGATCTTAAGCTCCCTGTTGTGTGATCTTAAGCACCCCGCTGTGTGATCTTAAGTGTAGGTGAATTTAATTTATATTTCCACCTTCAAGCTTTCGGTTCAGCATTTGGAAGTTAGAGACAAGAATATCTACTTCAGGGCTGGGGCTGTAGCTCAATGGTAGAGTGCCCTCCTCTTGCATGTGTTGAGATACTGGGTTGAATCTCAGCACCACATAAACATAAATAAAAGATACTGTGTCTAACCACAACTAAAATAAATAAATAAATAAAAGAATATCTACTACTTCACAGGGTTTTTGTAAGGATTAAATCAGCTAACATGTCTGAGGCCATTAAATTTACTGAGTAAGTAAAAAAGAATTTTGTTTTAGTTGTCAATGGACTTTTATTTATTTATCTGTGGTGCTGAGAATCAAACCCAGAGCCTCACACATGCTTGGCAAGCTTTCTATCACTGAGCCACAACCCAGACCCTATGGAGTGATTTTATCTCTTCTGTTCATATAAATATCCACAGTGCCTAGCATAGTGCTTGGTGCCTAGTAGGAACCTAGAAAAAAAAACTGTGGCATGAATCCACCTACACTCTGTATCTCCAAATATATATGTATATACAGTGGGAGGTGGATGTCAATAGAGGGAACTACAATTGTTGGAATTAAACATGTTTTGGTGGGCATGAGACATTTTCTTCTTTTACTAGCTTAATTTARATCAATTCTCTTGTGATGGAACTTAAAAAAAAAATTAGAAGGAGCTGGGGCTGGGGCTCAGTGGCAGAGCGCTTGCCTAGCATGTGTGAGGCACTGGGTTCGATTCTCAGCACTGCATATAAATAAATAAAATAAAGGTCCATTGACAACTAAAAAAAAATTAAAAAAAAATATTAGCAGGACGGAGGCCATGCTGGATGAATCTCTGGTGGAAAGATTGTTCCGGATGGTTAAGTTCACATGAAAAGTAAGTTGTAAAGAGAACTTTCAAGGGGTGGCAGAAGCGACTGTGAATGAAAGAGGGGAATGAGGTGAGTGGGTGTGGAGGATGAAGCAAAATAGAAAAGAACCCCTTCCCCACCTATAAAGCACTTCTTATTCTTATCCCCTAACCCTCAAGCCTCTGAAAGCTCTGAATGGGATTTCACGAATGGAACTCTCGCTGATTATGCACAAAAGGGCATTTTCCCAAAATAAAACCAATGGAAGAAAAGCTTAGATACGTGGTTGTGTCTAGCAGGATTCAGCCTTCAGRGAGAAAGGCTGAGATGGACAGGGCAATTCCAATTTAGCACACCTATAAGGATAGTAAACACTGAACAGTGAGGAAAATGGCGTGGTTAGGTAGTAAGAGATGACAACATTTAAACAGAACGGATATTGTTTTTTTTCCAAGAACAATTCTTCCAATTTAGGGTTTTGTGTTGAGACGAAACCAAACGCCTTAGCCAGCTGCAGACTCCCCGCAGAGGAGTGACTGATTCAATAGCTGGAGGTTAGTCAGGACTCTAGGATGTACCCCAGACACGGGGGCAATGCTTGCCCAGGCTTATTGACAGGGAGTCATTTCTGACTCAGGCGCGCGTGTCTGCTCGTCCAGTCCGCGAGCGTTCAGCTCGCGAACCTCAGACGATCCCTCCTCTCCGACGGGTAGCGAGCACCGCCTACTGGCCCTCCGCGGCTCGGCCTCGTGGCCCCACCCCGGGACGGAAGGCGCATGCGCCCGCGCCCCTCTTTCACTCCACCCCCATTTAGGCTTCTCGCGACATCTGCTCAGCCGCGGCCTTGAGTCTCGCGATAAAGGCTTATTGTCTCGCGGGAGCGCGTCTGGTAGACGGGCTCTCGGGAGGCCCCGGCTAGGAAAGAGGAGTTGCATGTGTCGCTTCAGCCGGCGGGAGCTGCGGGAGCGGCGGCGGCGAGCGCTGTGCGACCTCCTGGGTAACGACCCCTCCACTTCTTGGGCATCCCAGCGCTGGYAGTGAGCGTGGGGGAAGCTGAGGTGCTACCTGGAGGAAGGGGGCCGGGCCGGGCCGTGCGTCTCCACCCCCGCCCACATGGGTTCTTCTGCTGTCCCCAAGATCGCCGGTTCGCCTGAGACCTGCTCGCCCTTGCGCCCTCAGCCTTTTTGCAGTCTGCCCCTTCCTTGTTCTTCTCCCATTTTCCGCACTCTCCTCAGGCTCTGGCCATCCCGCCCCCTCCCATCTCCGTTCCTGATCGCTTCTCCTCCCTTGGCATCTCGCTGCTCCCACAACCTGCCTTTGGACACCTGGTGACCCACCTCCTCTTCCTAGGTTTTTCCAGCCTCTCTCCATTCAACTGCTTTGTAGTCTAATTCTGACTGCAGTTTGCATCCCTCCCAGGTCCCCCTCAGACCTTTTGCTCGGTCTCTATTGAGGTCATACACCCCATTCTTACCCCCTCAATTGCTTCTTTTTCTCTAGCGTCCCCTCTTCCCCATCTTTCATGGTCCATTCGCTACGTACTTCACTATAGACCTGTGGACAATGTGAATGAGCCTGAAATTGCTTATATTTTATGAATAATGCAGCTTGTATCCCTCACTTAACAGCACTGAAACAGCTTTGGAATGAGGGGACATGGAGGAGGAGGAGGAGGCGTTCCCATACTGCTTCTCTGGGGTCTTGGTTCAAAATAATGTGTTATTTTCCTTGCTTACAGGTTTGTGAAATGGCTACTGACATTTCTGAATCCAGTGGGGCTGATGGCAAAGGAGATCCAAGGAATAATGCCAAGTTAGATGCTGATTATCCACTTCGAGTCCTTTACTGTGGAGGCAAGTGTTGGAATGCAGAAAATGGGTTTTACTTGCTGTATTTTTATTCCTTGGTAGTTTCATATTTGAACTTGTTAAGTTTTTATGTGCTWTCTTTGTCATTTAATGAATCCTGAATTGAGAAGGGAGCCTGGTGAGGAGGGGGCCTAGGTTAACAGATATCTTTATCCAAGTGGTTTGTGACTTGTTACTTGACCTGGAGAAGCTTACAGTCAGTTGGAATAGAAATATGCAAATAGGTTATTTCAGCCAGATGTTTTATGCTAGTTGCTATTCTGGCTATTAAAGGAGACCATTTGGAACATATCAAGTCTTAAAGGATGGTGAAGAATGGCAGAGGAAGTCAGGAAGGGCATCATAGATGAAGTGAACAGCTATGCAAGGAAAAGTTGATGCATGTGTGTGAACTGAGCATCTTTGAATTAGTATATCTTATAGTATAGGGAGGTGTCAGTTAAGGACTAGAGGAGGCTAAATGGAATGATAGACAATAGGATAATTAGTGAAAGTCTTCTTGCTTTGAATAATAATGTATGTATTAGATTTCCCCTTTGAATATTCTCCAGATAGAAATATTTGTGAATTGTAAATGCTCTATTTTATTAGTGTCATAGGAAATTTAAGAAAAATTTCAGGATACGGAACAGTAAAGAGGCCAGGTGTTGTGGCAAACACTTGTAATCCCAGCAGTTTGGGAGGCTGAGTCAGGAGGATATCAAGTTCAAAGCCAGTCTTAGCAATTTAGTGAGGACCTACACAAATTAGCGAGACTCTGTCCCCAAATACAAAATAAAAACAGACTGGGAATGGTTGAGTGCCTTTGGGTTTAATCTCAGGTTACCCTGACACCCTGGCCCTGTGGGGGGTAGGAAAGGAAGAAAAAAGAAAAAACAGAAAGGGAAGGAGTAAATACTGTTTTTTAGAAAATATTCTTGAGGACTCACTAGGTGCTTTGTAATGTTTTAGGTGTTGGGGACTGAGTAATGAATAAATTAGAAAGGTTCCTTGTTCTCATGGACTTTACATTCTGTGAGAGTAATCCAGACCTCATTCAGAATTTAAGTACTGTGGAAGGAGAAGTGATGTCATTTGAGTCATTAAATTGCTTTCATAATAAAATTAACGTAGAATACCTCAGCAAGAGGTACTAGGCTGGGGAACTTTTTGTAGGGCTGATTGAGTTTTGTTATGATATTTTTCTCATGTATTTATATTTTTTGCCTTCAGAGTCATGAATTAGGGTTTACATTCTGATTCTAGCACTTACCAGGTATGTGTCCCTGAGCAAATGAATTGATTTCTGCAAGATTTAGAGCTCTGTTTCTAAGATCTATAAAATGAGGAGGAAGACTACATTTTAAGTCAGATGATTCATATAAAGCACCTTTTACCACAACCAGTAGTACAAGATCTTAGTTTACTAATGCTGCTGATGATTATTAGTATTAGAAAAGTATACTAGTTCAGTATTTTCTTTATCCTTATTTGTCAGATGTAGTTAAAAATTGTTGTAACCGAGTGTGGTGGTACACATCTATAATCCCAGCTACTCAGGAGGCTGAGGTGGCACACATCTGTAATCCCAGCTACTCAAGAGGCTGAGGCAGAAGGGTCAAAAGTTTGAGACAAGCTTGGGCAACTCTGTCTCAAAAATATAAAAGGCTGAAGATGTGGCTCAGTTGTTCAATCCCCAGTGCCAAAACAAAACAAAAGAAATGTTCTTTGCTTCGTAGTTAATCAAACCTAAAGCTTTATAAAATGCACTATTATTTTAGACCTAAGAAAGAAAAAAGATACTGATTAGATTGAGAAGATAATTATAAGATTAAAAAATTAGAATTCATTGATATATAGGATATGAAACCCATACTATTAAATCTAAGGTGTCTTTTGAAGAACTACACTAAATATTCAGTCTTCCCCACTGATAATTTGTATTGTTGAAACTCCCTAACATTTTGGACAAAGGTTTATTTTCATTTCCCTGTCTACTTTGTGTTGATATTGCAATACAATATTAGAATTAGGAAAAGGGTTTATGTATGGTTGTGAGAAGTACTTAGGGAATATTAAATGCTGAATTAAATGGTATTGACTTGTAAAAAATATGAATTAGGAGTTTAGGAGAGGGAGGGATCTTGTTCAGAGACAAGTAGGGAAGTTTTTAAGGAACTAGGATTTGTATTAAACCTTAGCTGATAAGTAGAACTTACATGGAAAGGTGAAGGTATTCTTAAGTACAGTATGATGGTGGGCTGGGCATGTAGTTCAGTGGTAGAGTACTTGCCTAGCATGTATATAAGCTCTGGGTTCAATCCCTAGTACTGCAAAAAAACAAAAGTGGTAAAAAAGTAAAAAAAAAAAAAATAATAATAATAATAATAATTTTTTTTAGTTGCAGATGGATACAATACCTTTATATTTTATTTCTTCATTTTTTGTTTTTGGGTACCAGAGATTGAATTCAAGGGCACTCAATCACTGAGTCACATCCCCATCCCTATTTTTATTTTATTTAGAGACAAGGTCTCACTGGGTTGCTTAGTGCCTTACCCTTGCTGAGTCTGGCTTTGAACCCGAGGTCCTTCTACCCCAGCTTCCAAGCTGCTGGGATAACAGGCATGTGCCATCATGCCTGGCTTTTTTTTTTTTTTTTTTTTTTTTTCAATGTGGTACTGAAGATGGAACCCAGGGCCTCACATGTGCTAGGCAAGTACTCCACCACTGAGCCACAACCCCAGCCAAAATGGGGTAAAATTAGTATGGTATATTCAGGGGAGAGGGAGGTGAAAGAGCTGATTGGAGCAGAATAATGATTTGGATTAAAGAAGGAAACCAGGCTAGGTTGGATGGGTTCCTTCCTTCCTTCCTTCCTTCCTTCCTTCCTTCCTTCCTTCCTTCCTTCCTTCCTTCCTTCCTTCCTCCCCCCCCCCCTCAGTGAAGGTGTCAGCCTCTGGAGACTATGTTCGTTTGTTTCTTTCTTTCTTTTGTTCATTTGCTAGAGGTTTACCTCAGTGAGGATGTAGCCTCTGGAGACTATGTTTCTTTCTTTCTGCCCCCCCCCCCCCCCGCCTTTTTTAGTTGTAGTTGGACACAATACCTTTATTTTACCCATTTTTTTTGTTTTTTTTTAAAGTGGTGCTAAGGATCGAACCCAAGGCCTCGCATGACCTAAGTGAGTGCTCTACCACTGAGCCACAACACCAGCCTGAGCCCAAGTCTTGCATGCTAGTCAATTACTCTCTGCCTTGAGCTACATTCCCAGCCCCTAACTGAGTTTACATCCTGGTGCAGTTTTATTTCTGACTGTGACCTTGGCCAGTTCCTTCATTCATAAAATGGAGGTAGCAGCAGAGCCTCTTTCAGAGAGCTGTTGGAAGGGAAAAATTAAAAAATACATTGTGGGCTGGAGTTGTAGCTCAGTGGCAGAGCGCTTGCCTAGCATGTGTGAGGCATTGGGTTCTATCCTTAGCACCACATAAACATAAACAAATAAAATAAAGGCATTCTGTCCATCTATAACTACAAAAAACTAGAAAAAAAATACATTGCATTGGGCTGGAGTTGTGACTCAGTGCCTAGCACATGCGAGGCACTGGGTTAGATCCTCAGCACCACATTAAAAATAAATAAATAGGGCTGGGGATGTGGCTCAAGTGGTAATGTGCTCACCTGGCATGCGCGGGGCACTGGGTTCCATCCTCAGCACCACATAAAAATAAAAAAATAAAGTTGTTGTGTCCACCGGGGGAAAAAAAAGAAAAAGAAAAAGTTTAAAAATAAATAAATAAACAAACAAACAAATAAATGTGTCCACCTACAACTAAAATAATACATAAAAAATAATATTGCATAACAATGTATTATTTTTTATATATTTGGCACTTGGTGAGTTCTCAGTAAATGTTATTATTGCTCAAAGTCAGATAAGTTGAGTTACTATAGTCTCCATCATTTATGGGGAACTGATGATTTCTTGAGCAGGAAAATAAATTGATGAGAAGGTTAATATGCTACATTATGTGGATGAGGGAGAATCCACAGGTTGAAAGGCCAGTTTCAGAAATGTAGGCGTGAGGTAAATGAGCGTCATGATTATAGTGGAAACAATATAAAATGAAAGAGGATTAATTAAAGAAAAGATGAGGGCTGGGAATGTAGCACAGTAGTAGAGCTAGCTCTTGCCTGGAATGCTTGAGGCCCTGGGCTTGATCCCCAACACTGAAAAAAAAAAAATAGAAAACAAAAAAGAAAAGATGAAATGTTTAATAGTGAGAGGGGAAAAGAGCTAGACACGGTGGCTCACGCCTATAATCCTAGTGACAGGGGAGGTTGAGGCAGAAGGGTCACAAGTTTGGGGCCAATACTGGTAATTTACAGTCTTGGCAACTTAGCAAGACCCTATCTCAAACTAAAAAGGCCTGGAAATGTGTTTCAGTGATAAAGTCCCTCTGGATTTAGTCCCTAGCACCTCCTACCACCCACCAAAAACAAAACAAACAAAAAAACCAGGGCTGGATAGGTTGCAGATTCACTGATGAATTCCCTATTTCTAAACTGAATTGAAAAATAGAAAAATCCTGAAAGTGGTGAAGTTGATTAGGTTTAGAGGTGGATATTTGGTTCATTATTCTAATATGAATTTTAATTTCTCCCAATGGAAGAATCCAGAATATCAAAATTGACAGCAGAGAATTAAAAGAAAAATATGCCACAGAGAAGGTGGAGAGTGTGTGAGCTTTTCTAAGAAGTCAGGGGCCTAGGATTGTGGCTCAGTGGCAGAGTGCTTGCCTAGCATGTATGAGGCACTGGGTTCGATCCTTAGCACCACATAAAAATAAATAAATAAAATAAAGATACTGTGTCCATCTATAACTTAAAAAAAAAAAAGTCAGAGGATCATTTCTGTGACTAAGGTGAGCTGTGTGGATTTCGCCACATAGAGAGATTGTTCATTTGCTAGAGGTTTACCTCAGTGAAGATGTCAGCTTCTGGAGACTATGTTTCATTTTTCTGTAGTTATGAAGCATAACTAAAGATGTAAGAAAAACAGGTACATTTATTTTAACAGGATGCAGAGAATTTAGGTTCCTGTCATATTCTTACATGGTGGTTACCTATGTAACAACATTTTAAATTTGAAAGCCTCTGTGATTCAAGGATAAGATCTGTTTTCCAGCGACCTCAATAAACTAGGAGTCAATAAACTAGGACTACCAGGTGGAAGCTATTGAAAGGTGCATTTGTACCTAATGAATACTGTCCAGAAGTATTGGAGACAAGTGTAGGCTATACTTTTAGATTCCAACATTATCACTTTATAAAAATGGTGGCATTGCCAGGCATGGTGGCGCATGTCTGTAATCCCAGAAACTCTAGGAGTCTGAGGCAAGAGAATCATAAGTTTGARGCCAGCCTCATCAGTTTAGGGGGACCCTGTCTAAAACAAATAAGCTAAAAGATGTAGCTTGCATTTATTTGGGGGGGCGGTTACTGAGGACTGAACCCAGAGGCACTTAACCACTGAGCCAYGTCCCCAGCCCTTCTTAATATTTTATTTAGAGACGGTTTCGCTGAGTTGCTTAGGGCCTCACTAAGTTGCTGAGGCTGGCTTTGAACTCATGATCCTCTTGCCTCAGCCTCCTGAGCTGCTGGGAGTTACAGGCATGCGTCACCAGTAGGCCCTTCTTGCAGGTTGCATTTTTTTAAATATTTACTTTTTAGTTATAGGTGGACACAATGTCTTTATTTTACTTTATGTGATGCTGAGGATTGAACTCAGTGTCCCATGCATGCTAGGTGAGAACTCTACCTCTGAGCCACAACCCCAGCCTATAGCTTGCATTTTTAATAGGTTCATATTAATCAACAATTTAAAAAGACTGTAAAGTATTTACTGAATACACTCTGATGGTTCTGGACAAAGTTCCAGGAAGGATTGTAAATTGGCAGGAGCCCTGTCCTTCATCTACACATAACTTATACCAGGTAGAGTTGGTGAGTATTGAAAGAAGGATACAGGTGAGATTGGCAGCAGAGAGAAGAAATAAAAGGTTTGGGACAATTAGCCACAGTGGCAGTGAGGAAGGGAGAGCTGTCATCCAGTTGTGTGGAATCAGGAAGACTTCATAGAAGTAACTCATTGAGTGGGAATTTGAAGGGAAGGGAGCATTCAGGCAGGCACAGAGGGCAGAAGAATAAGCCCTACCAGGCAAGGGAACAACAGAAGAGAGGTGAAAAAAAGATGGAGAGTATAGAGCAGGTTGCAAGTGCTCTGGTTTGGTTATAATGTGGGATTTGTGAAGAGGAGTGGCCGGATTGTGGGGGACTTCATTTGTAGATGATGGTAAGTTACTGGAAGTTTATGAGCAGAGAATTTATGTGAAGATGAATTCAGCATCAGAATAAAAGTTGGGTGTGGAAAACTTATTGCCAGACTATAATAAGACTTTAGAGAAAATTAATTAGGGTTTAAATGAGTAGCAGAGCCAGGTGTGGTGGTATACAACTGTAGCTCCAGGTAGTCAGAGGCTGAGGCAGGATGTTTGAGCTCAGGAGTTCAGACCAGTTTGGGCAATTAAGTGAGACCTTATCTTTAAAAAAAAAAAAAAAAAAAAAAGGCAGCATAAATTAGAGGAGGTTAAGGAGAGAGATTTTAATGGCAGTGGAATCAACAGGATAAAGTAGTTAAATAGGTTTGAGGACAAAGGAGGGGGAGAAATCACATATTAAAACTGTACATCTAGCAGATATTTAGTATTCTTGGAGTACTTAGAGAAGAGTAAAAAATCCTTATATAGAGTACTTGATTAAAGAGAAAAATAAAGTAAATGTGTGTTTCTTGTTGCTCCTTTTCCCTACTCCCTCYTTTCCAAAAAGAAGGGTGCAAATTATACTGGTTTCATCTCTGCTAAAGTCTGAGCAGGGATTTAGAGAGCAGTTTGGATTCTTTTATAAAACGTGCTTTAAGCTTCTGCTCTGTGCCAGGCCTTCTGAAGCTCGCAGCTTAACTGAAGACAAACATTCTAACAGATGAGCTTTAATGTACTAGAGGCTCCATGTTCCATGAACTGACATCTTCTTAGATCAAAAGATCAAGATAGTGTCATCTCAAATAATCATGTGCCTTTTTCTGCAAAAATAGCCTTGAAAAAACATTTGAAAATGGTACAGAAAAATTAGAAATGAAGCATTTGTCAAATATAAATTAATGATGAGTCCTGTGTGTATTCATATATTTAACATTTTATTTTTTTTTCCTCTACATTTCTCCAGTCTGTTCATTACCAACAGAGGTAAGTCCATTTAAAATTATTTTCTCTTTTTTAACTTCTGCATTTGAGGTTACTTTTGAATTTAGAGCTAACACAGAACTTTCTTATTTTTTATTTCCTATCATTTGATAGATGAGTTTCAACCTTTTGTATAGGTCTTTGGTGTAGAATACTCTTAAAGTCTTATAACTTTCTTGGGAGGAAGGGCAACTGAAAGTTTATACCCAAGGCCTTGTGCATGTTAGGCAAGCATTATAGCACTAGCCAATGAACCACATCCCCAGCCCTTTTTATTTTTTGAGACAGGGTCKCTCTAAGTTGCCCAGCTGGCTTTAAACTTTTGATTCTCCTGCCCTCAGCCTCTGAGTAGCTGGGATTACAGAGTGTGTGCCATCATGCCTGTTTATAAATTCTTTCCTTTAGACCTTGAGTTATACGTGTACTCTTTTTTTTTTCCTTTCTTTCTTTCTTTCTTTTGTTTTTGTTTTTTGTTATTTTGAGATGTGGTCTTGCTGTGTTGCCCAGGCTGGTCTTGAACTCCTGGGCTCAACTGATCCTCTTGCCTCAGCCTCCTGAGTAGCTGGGACTACAGGTGCGTGTCACTGTGCTCAGCTATTATGTGTACTTTTTTTGCACTTACCTATATATGCATTTTGGATTTTTGCATGGAACTCATGAATAGTCAGCTGATAAAGCAAGAGTAATCCTAAAGCCAAAACTATCATGTCTGAGGAGAAGAAAGAAAAAGCAATATAAAAGTCTTAATATCAAGAAAAAAAGACTCAGGTCAATGAAGGCATAGTCTTATAAGACTTTCTGAGACAGGTTTTATGGGTAAGTCAGAAAAATAATGAGGCGCCTGTGTACCCAAAGCAAGATAGTTTTTGTTCATTGCCCTTGTTGTTCATTGGACTTATTGTTTGGATGAAGAAAAAATAGCTACAGTGAGGTGGTACCTAATCCTTTCTTATTTCTAGTTTCTTATGGGGCATTTCCTATTTGAATACAGATTTCCTATGGATAAGAAGTCTGGTGAAAGTAGTTAATCATTGTTTATATAGCAACAATAGACAATACTTTTTAATTAAAATATATAGATTGTTTAAAAATGTTTTGTTGTGACTCAATTTGTTCTTTTATTTTTCCCTCCCAGTACTGTGAATATATGCCTGATGTTGCTAAATGTAGGCAGTGGTTAGAGAAGAATTTTCCAAATGAGTTTGCAAAACTCACTGTAGGTATGAAAATTTTTTTCTTTTCTCTAACTTATATATCTGAAACAGWTGTATATATGGTATTAAATGTGAAAGTCCTTCTTTAATAGGATATTACAGTTTCATTACTCTGTTTAAAACTGTTTCTATTTTGAAGCAGGATAGATCTGTATCAACTGATAGAAAAAAATTAAATGATTTAGGGCAAATGTTCACATTAATTTGAGCATACTATATGCTGCTACACATTGTTTTAAGTTCCAAGGGTAAAGCAGTAAACAGAAGATTGAGTTTTGTTGCTCAGAGGAGTATACACATGCTTGTAAGCTTGCAAGGCTTTGTCAGGAGAATCAAAATCAGCCTCAGCAAAAGTGAGGCACTAAGCAACTCAGTGAGATCCTATTTCTAAATAAAATCCAAAATAGGGCTAGGGATATGACTCAGTGGTTGAGTGCCCTGAGTTCAATCCCTAGTACCAAAAATATTGAGCTTTGTGGCTGGGGCTGTAGCTCAGTGGGAGAGCAGTTGCCTAGCATGTGTAAGGCACTGTGTTTGATACTTAGCACCACATGAAAGTAAAAAAAATAAAGGCATTCTGTCCATCTACAGCTACAAAAAAAAAAAAAGATGCTTAAAAATGAAGGTAGTGGCAAGAACAAGGGAAAGCCTGGGCTGGGAACAGGCCTATTCCATGTCCCACTGTGCTGCTTGATTTTTCCAGTTATTTCCATAATTCCAAGACTTCTTTTTCTATTAGCATTACTTACTGTTAATCAGGTTTCCATCACTATAACAAATGCCTGAGAAAATCAACTTAGGAAGGGAAAAGGTTTATTCAGGTTCAGTTTTAGAGGTTTCATTTTACAATTGGGGGCCCTATTGCTTTGGGTCTATGATGAGGCTTGACATCATGGGGAAGTTTATGGTAGAGCAGAACTACTTACCTCATGACCTGGTAGTGAGGAAGGGGATGGGGACCCACTATCTTCTTCARTGGCACTCCCCCAGAGACCTGAGGACTTACTGCTAGGTCCCACCTTGTTGGAGTTCCTCCACTTCCCAATAGCACTACCATGGGGGCTAAACCTTTAACACATGGGCCTCTGGGTACACTTATCCAAACCATAACATAATGACTTTAGAGTTAAGACTTGTATAGAAATAAAGCCATTTAACATTTGCTTTAGGAATGTCATACTCAATTGTTGGTAAAATCCCTTATTTGCATATGAAAGTTACTCAAAGGTAATTTCTTTTTTTATCAGTATGAAATGATATTAATGCTTTTGGATTTCATTTTATATCTAGAAAACTCACCCAAACAAGAAGCTGGAATTAATGAAGGTCAAGGAACAGTAGGAGAAGAAGAGGAGAAGAAAAAACAAAAGAGAGGTAAGACCCAAATCCATGTTTTGATTTGAATAAACATACCTTCCCTGTGATAGAACATAAAAGGAATTAGGGTTCCCAAAGTGAGAAACATCTACCAGTTATAATTTAATTCCATATATGTGTCATATAGAGGATCACAAAATTACATTCTCAGGGTCATGCTTGAATGTGATATGATTTGGACTTTATTAGTAAATTTGACCGGAGATAATATGCATATATGCTGTATATATGTACATGTAAGATGCAGTCATCCAGCGAAGATTCCTGTGTATTCTGTTTAAGTGGACTGAGGAAATAGACATTTAAGAATTTATCCTCTCATTACTTCTGATAGTTAAATTGAAAACTTTGTTTTATATCTCATGTTCTGGATCCTATCCTTGCTTGTTTCTTCTTTATTAATTATGTGTCGCTATAATTAAATTAGCTTATAAATATTTTCAGGTTTTTTGTATTCAAAAGGAAAAAAACCACTCTTTTATAATTCCAGTGACTTAGGAGGCTGAGGCAGAAGGATTGAAAATTCACGGCCAGCCTCAGCAAATTAGCAAGGGCCTACAAAACTTAGACCCTGCCTCAAAATAAAAAGGGTTGGGGATGAATCTCAGTGGTAAAGTGCCCCTCAGTTAAATGCCAAGTGCCCTTGTCTTTTTTTTTTTTTTTTTTTTTAAAGAGAGAGAGAGAGAGAATTTTTTAATATTTATTTTTTAGTTCTCAGCGGACACAACATCTTTGTTGGTATGTGGTGCTGAGGATCGAACCCGGGCCGCACGCATGCCAGGCGAGCGCACCACCGCTTGAGCCACATCCCCAGCCCAAGTGCCCTTGTCTTCGTAGCCAGGTGTCTTTACTAAGAGTAAGAGACTTATCTGGGCGAGGTGGCGTGCTCCTGTAATCCCAGAGGCTTGGGAGGCTGAGGCAGGAGAATCATGAGTTCAAAGCCAGCCTCAGCAACTTAGAAAGGTGCTAAGCAACTCAGTGAGACCCTGTCTCTAAATAAAATACAAAATAGGGCTGGGATGTGGCTCAGTGGTCTAGTGCCCCTGAGTTCAATCCCTGGTACCCAGAAAAAAAAAGAGTAGACTTATAACCCTCCTTTCTGTTCTGTCACTCACTCTTCAGTCTGTCCTAACTTGGCTTTGGTGGCATGGAGACTGTTCTAATAAAAGCACCAATTGCCTGCTATCACTATGTAAAAAGGGCATTTGAACACTATCCTATTTCAAAGTGTAGTTCTGAGGTGTTGTGTTTTTGTTTTTTTTTTTTTTTAAGGTCCTGGGGATGGAAACCAGGCCTCACTTAGCTAGGCAAGTGCTCTACTACCGAGCCACCCTCCAGCCTCTTCCTTGGTTTCTGTGGTTTTCTTAGTTCTACTCTTTTGTTCCTGCTCAGTATTCTGTGGAGGCTTCTTCCCTCTGTCTTTTAAAAGCAGATATCTCCCAGGACTCTGTCCCTGGTCCTTTAAACTTCTCATTCTGCATGTTCTCTGTGGATCATTCTCTCCCTAGCTTCTGCTGCACTGTACACTCATAATTCTCAGCATATATCTTAGGACCTGGAAGTACTTTAGATTTAGCACTTCCAGGTCAAATTTAACTAAACCTCATATCCATTTTTTATTTTCCCATTTTAGTAATGACAGTGTGGTTTATCTGAGCCTTAATCCTGGGAACCATTTTATCCTCTCTTTGCCCTCTTTAATTAGTTCTAAATGTAGTTATTTTTCTTTCTTTATCCTGTTCCTAGTGGCTATTATTATTGTCATATTTGGTTTATATTTTGATTTTTTTGTCTGAGATAATGCAGCAATCTCTTCAAAGATGCATCCTCCACACAGTAGTTAGAACAAGCTTGATAAAACATAAATCTGGTAGGATCATTCTAGCAGTCTTTTTTTTTTTCTTTTTCTCTTTTGATAGCAGGGATTGGACCCAGGGGTGCTTTAACTACCGAGTCACATCCCCAGCCCTTTTTTAAATTTTTTGAGACAGGGTCTCAGTTGCTCTGGCTGGCCTCAAACTTGTGGTCCTCTTGACTTAGCCTTCCAAGAAATTGGGATTATAGGTGTGAGCCACCATACCCTTCATTTTAGTAGTCTTTCAATGACTTCTCTTCTTCCACAATGTAAAGTCAAACACTAGAGTTTAATATTCTAGTCTCTTAATGTATGGTGTATAATCTTTTGCTCTTTTGGCTTCATTTACTACATATCCATAAGCATCCTTCAGTTAAGACCAGTGCAGTTCCCAAATATAATGCCTTTTCTTATCTCTGCTTGTTCCCCTTCCCTAGAATGCCTTTTTTTTTTTTTTCTTTTTGGTACTGGGGATTGAACACAAGAGTACTTTACTACTAGCTACATTCTTCGTACCTTTTTTTTTTTTAAGACAGGGTTTTTCTAATTTCTAAGGCTAGCTGGAAACTTGCTCTCCTTCTGCTTCAGCCTCTAAGTCACTGAATTATGGGTGTGACCACCATGCCCATCTTAGAATTTTTTTTTTTTCCTTCTCCAGCCATTTTCCCTTCACCTAAATGCTTCCTTTTTCCTCAAGACCTATTGTCACTCTAGGAAACCTTTTCTGTCTTCTGGAAGCAGATTAAGTCATTCCTCTGCCAAGTGTGGATGGTAGTGCCTTATTAAAGGATCCTATTATAGTGTATACCAGATTACTGTAATTTATTTAACATGTAGGGTAGGGATTATGTTTAGTGCTTGGCACATGGTAGGTACTTAATAAATGTTTATTGAGTGAATACATACATGAGATTTTTTTTCTCCCTGGTACTGAGCACTTTTTATTTTTATTTTGAGCTAGTGTCTTACTAAATTGTAGAGGCTGACCTTGAACTGAGATTACAGGTATGAGCCACTGCACCTGGTGTGATTTTCTTTTAGAGAAAGGGAATTTAGCTGGGCACAGTGGCACAGGCTTGTAATCCCAGCGACTCAGGAGGCTGAGGCAGGAGGATCGCAAGTTCAAACCTAGGCTCAGCAACTTAGCGAGGTTATAAGCAACTCAGCAAGACCCTGTCTCTAATAAAATATAAAAATGGGGATCTGGGTTGTGACTTAGTGGTAGAGTGCTTTCTTGGCATGTGTGGGGCATTGGATTTGATACTCAGCATCATGTGGGAGAAATAAATAAATAAATGAAAGTATTGTGTAAATATACAGCTAAAAAAAGGGGCAGGGGACTAGGGATATGGCTCTGTGATTCAGCACCCCAGGTTCAATCCCTGGTTCAAAAAAAGAAAAAGGAACTTAAACCTTTAAAAAATGAACACATTTGCTAGGCATGGCATTGCACACCTGTAATCCCAAATCCTCAGAGGCTGAGACACAAGAATCATGAGACACAAGAGACACAAGAATCTCTGCAACTTGTAAGACCCTATCTCAAAAAACATAAAAGGACTGGGGATGTGACTTAGTGGTTAAGCACCCTGAATTCAATCACTGGTTCCCCAAAAAAAGAAAAAAAAATAAAGGCTTAATATTCTGTGATAATGTTTAAAAAAAACCCCAAATAATTTATGCAAGCTCTTTTTAATAAATACAGGTGGAAGGGGTCAAATAAAACAGAAAAAGAAGACTGTACCGCAAAAGGTTACTATAGCTAAAATTCCCAGAGCAAAGAAGAAATATGTGACAAGAGTATGTGGCCTTGCAACTTTTGGTGAGTTCAGGCTTAAGTTTATTTTTTATCACAGTATATGTTTAAATTGTGTATATTCTCTCTTGCTCCTTCTTTTTATCTGATATCATAGAACTTCACTGGTCTATATTTGCTAAGAAAGTATAAAATTGGGTTTTACATTTTTAATTAGCTTAAAAATCATAATTTGGAGGAATTTAAAACTTTTTTACTTTTATTTATTTTCATGTGGCTCTGAGGATTGAACCTAGGCCTTGCATGTACGAGGCGAGTGCTCTACCGCTGAGCCACAACCCCAGCCCCTTTAAAAACGTTTTTAGAGGACAGTAATACAGTCGTTTCCTTTCTGGAATTCCTGTATAGGTACATTTATGTAGGAYGAGGAGGAGGGCTGGGTGACTTTGTGGCAGAGAGTTGTATAATGGCCCACATCCTCTGGGAATGACAGTAGGGGTGAATGAAGGTGGATAGAAGAGCACCCTGTTTCAAAGCCCTTCAATTCCTGGAGACCTTGAGTTTGGGATGAAAGTATAAGGCAAGGTTTCTTCAAATAACAACAGACAATTGAAAAAGAATCACTGGATTGCATTTTGAATATTAAGGATTGTTTTTCCACTGTAAATTTTTCTCTTGTAAGGGAGCTTAAACAAAAGAACTTCATTCCTACTTAAAAGTGTGTATGTAATGCTTAGAAGTAATGTGTTCCTGGATTCATTTTGGTCTTACTGTATGAGCTAGGGATAGTATGAATGATGCTGTTTTTATATATTACACCTTTATTTGACCTTGAAAAAGGATGTTGAATTRAGAGCCCTGACTATTTTAATTACTATTCTGAAAGGAATATGAAATCCTTTAATACCTGTTTCATGAATTTAAAATGCAGAGTAAATATCAAAATGGAAAAATATCTTTGATTCACAATTTCAATTATAATCTTGCTCCCCCCTCCCCTTTTAAACCAACAGAAATTGATCTTAAAGAAGCACAAAGATTTTTTGCTCAAAAATTCTCCTGCGGTGCCTCAGTAACAGGGGAAGATGAAATCATCATTCAGGGGGACTTTACAGATGACATAATTGATGTCATTCAGGAAAAATGGCCAGAGGTAAGTTCATGGAACACATATACCCATAGATATAAGTTGTTTAAAGCAAGTTGTTTCACCTTTTCCTTGTTTGAATTCACAGCTCATGGAATACAAATATTTGTGTATTATAGGTGGATGATGACAGCATTGAAGACCTTGGAGAAGTAAAGAAGTGATTTTGAAAAACTTGTCTATATTTAATGATCTGGACTGAGCTGATACGGCCAAAGTGAGAGAGGCCTTTTAAATATATATCTATTTATCCTACAGTAAGACTGTAGACACCCTTGGCATTTTCACTGTCCTGTACAAGGCTGCTTGGTTTTTTTATTGCCAAAGTCTAATAAACAGGGGAGACTGTCATGCTTATGCATGATGCAGAATTTAGTCAAATAAAAAATTTTGGTCATTTGGTACTGACTTTTTCCTCTCTTTCTAACTTTTTATTTTAGAAAAACACTGTAATCTTTTTTGGGGGGGCAATGTTGGGGATCTAACTCAGGGCATTGCATGTGCCAGGCAAGTGCTCTGCCACTGAGCTACACTCCCAGCTCCAATACTGTGGACCTTTTGTGGGAAGCATTTTTGTTGGTTATCTTACTGATTCACAGTTGAGTTATTTTAAAAGGAATTTGAATTTGGCTTCCTTGCCAATAATGTCTCCTGATTTGTTTGGTGCGATGGTGCGATAGTATGAGTGAGAATATAATAGATTTATGGTTGAGTTTGTTTCATTGTTACTAACAAAGTCCATTTTTTGGGCATAACAACATACTATTGTAGTAATAGTAAGCTGTACTGGAGATTATTTGGTAAAGTATATTAAAAGCCTTAAAACCATGTGCACTATTTGATCCAGTAAGCTACTTCTTTGATACTATCCTAAAGTATTAGGATAGTATGCAAGACTGGTTAGTTTTGCACAAATTTATGGATGAGGGGATTCCTCACAATATTATTCATAATATCAAWAATTGTAGATGACATAAATGAACAATTGGGAAATGGTTAAAGAAGTGATGTATTATCATGAGGTAGAATATTATATGTACATCCAAAATTTTTATTTTTCAAGAATACTTAGGAGCATGTTTGGTCATTACGTAGGGGCTAATCTTCAATCCATTTAAACATTCATTATTGTTGTCTTGTGTGGAAGGCCGTTTAAAGCTGCTGGAAGTTCCTGTTCTGGCTAAACCTTATGTGAGTAAAATTCTGCTAACCAATTAAAATTAATGTATACTCATGTTCAAATATAGTCTGGAAAATAACAGTTGAAATATCTTTCTCTCACAAGAGAAACTGATAATTTTAATGAATGTATTATATGATTCTAAGTTTTAAGTTAGGTGCTGCAAACATTGCTATAGACACCTTTAAGAAAGTTAGAATGGGGTGGGGGAAGGGAGAGAAAGAGGAGGAGAAATTTAGAACCCATGAAAATCATTGTTCATTGCCATGCAAATACAATCTTTAATGAAAGGGTGTTTTTTTAAAAAAAATGTCTTAGAAAAGATGTGTAATAAAGATGTAAATTTTAAAATGAAATTCTGCATTAACTGAATTATACTAAGTAGGATTACCTGGTGAAGCAAATTTATCCATCAAGACCTTTTGGCATGTATTATGTATGTATTCTGCTGGTGCTAGATGAGTTCTGTGTGCCTGTATCAACACGTGATTTCATGTAAAGAATCTTCATGTTCACAGTTCTTGGCAAATGCACTTTCAACCCTTACTTAGCCACCAGTGGATGTTACTCTAGGAAAATGCAGGATTAAACTTGTCTTCGTGGATCACATATATGTGAATCTTTTTCTTTGACTTTAGATTGTAACCTATTTTAATCTGACTAAAATATTGACTTTTATTCACTCTCATAGTCTAGTATTTTTTTAGCAAAAAGAAATGAAAACTTTTAAGCAGCCTTACTTACCATGTTTAAGAGATTTGCCATGGTGAAATAGTCAACTTCAAATGCAAATATAGTCATAGTTTTTTTTTTTTGGTACTGTGGATTGAACTCAGGGGCACTCAACCACTGAGAAACAGTCCCAGACCTGTTTTGTATTTTAATTTAGAGACAGAGTCTCACTGAGTTGCTTAGTGCCTCACTTTTGCTGAGAATGGCTTTGAAATCGTGATCCTCCTGTCTCAGCCTCCCAATCCTCTGAGATTACAGGTGTGAGCCATCATGCCTGCTAGATGTATTTTTGTATGTAAATACGTAGTATTGTATTCATTTCTAAAAAATATGGATGCTGGATTTTTATGGATTACATGAAGTGTAAATCTGCTGTTAAGATACACTCTGTAGATAGTTCATTAATTACAATTTTAAAGATAATTCTTGCTGAGCATGTGCGAAGTCCTAGTTTTAATCCCAGCACTGAAAAACAAAAAATACTGAATTCAACCTTTTAGATCATTAGTAAATTCCATCCCTTGGGAAATCAAGCCGGAAGACTAGAATGAGTCCATTCAGGAATTTAGTTTGGGTTAGACTGTATGGGTCTAAAATCGGATGCTTTTTTGTATGTGTGATACTGGAGGCTGAGCCCAGGTGTGCTCTACCACGGAGGCACATCCCAGCCCTTTTAATTTTTATTTGGAGACTGGGTCTCACTGCATTGCCCAGGCTGGCCTCAAACTTACAATCCTCCTGCCTAGCCTTCTGTTTTGTTGGGATAACAGTTGTGTACCATGGTGTCTGGCCACATGGTAATTCTTTTTAAAAAAAAAATATTTTTTAGTTGTAGGTGAACACAATACCTTTATTTTATTTATGTATATGTGGTGCTGAGGATTGAACCCAGTACCTCTCATGTGCCAGGCAAGCGCTGTACCACTGAGCCACAACCTCAGCCCCACACTGTAATTCTTGCAGCTTTCACTTTTATGTCATTTTTAATAAAAGTACTCTCTTTTTAGATTTTTGTTTTGGTTTTAAGGAAAATTTGAGGGAGTGAACTTGAAGCATTATCACCTTCAATTTTTGCTTATTAACTATAATCATGTGAACTCTATTTCTTACTATTCTCTGTACACATAATTTTGCAGACTGTTAGGCATGTGGTTGTCTGGTGAATGGTGAATTGGGTATTTCAAAAAATACCCAATCTTAACTTAAAATGGTATAGTCTAAAACCATATGAACTTCTGGGTGCAGTAGCACCTGCCAGTAATCCCAGGGGCTGGGAAGGCTGAGAATGAGGATCCCGAGTTCAAAGCCAGCCTCACTAACTTATCGAGGCCCTGTCTCTAAATAAAATACAAAAAGGGCTGAGAACATGGCTCAGTTCGTAAGTACCCTGGGTTCAATCTTCAATACCAAAAAATAAAAAAATAAAAAGCATGTGAGCTAAAATGTTATTCAGTTAAAAAAAACTGAGGGTCAGCCCACATTCTTTTGACCTTCACCACCAAGACTTATTCCACAGTCATCTACAAACAGATGCTTTATTGCAGTATTGGGGACTGGACCCATACTGGGCACGTGCTCTAGCTATATTCCCAGCCTTTTTTATTTTGAGGTTGCTTATCAACTATGATCATATGAATGCTATTTCTTTATAATCACCCAAGCAGGCCTCCTAACTTGAATCCTGCCTCAGCCTCTCAAGTAGACAGCCTCTTCTGCTATGTCTAGGCGATAGGGAGGGCTATTTCTTTCTTTTTTTTTTTTTAAAGAGAGAGAATTTTTAATATTTATTTTTTAGTTCTCGGCGGACACAACATCTTTGTTGGTATGTGGTGCTGAGGATCGAACCCGGGCTGCACGCATGCCAGGCGAGCGCGCCACCGCTACAGCCACATCCCCAGCCCCGGGAGGGCTATTTCTAACAACTGGTCATAATGTGCTTGATTACAAATTCTAAGATAATCATCTTGTTGGTTCTAAATTAAGGAGGCAGAATCATTACCCCCAAATCTGCGAAGTTTCAAAGCGAGAAATCTTCACTTTGTTTTTCCATTCCCGGATTGTCTGTTATGACCACAGTCATGTTTTGCTAATTCACAATCAACCCAAAAAAAAAAACGGAAGCCCTTTTGTTATCTAGTAATCTGTCTTGCAGAGTCCAACATCAGGGCTCTGGGCCACCAGGGTTAGATGTGATGGGCACCTTTTCATAATTCAGTTTCCAAAAATATTTTATGAGGAGTATAAGCGGGATGAAGTAATGACTGAGACATGTGAAAAAGATTACATTAACCCTAGAATGCGGTAAATCTTGTCATGACAAAGTACCACGGTTCTCTCTGCTACTTTTCCCCCTCATCTTAGCCTATGAGATCTCGGTTTGATCGGCGAGAGCGACCAGCAACTACCACTTGCCAGCACCCGCGTCTGCAGATGGGAAATAACAGCCACGCCCATCATCAGACTAACCGGGGCGTTGCGGAACTGTGGAGGTGACAGCGCGGTCCCTAGGACACCCAKGTTGTGCGGTTCTCGAGTTGAACCGTCGAGGCCCCAAGTCTCGCGAGACCCAGCGGTCCCTCTGTCTCGCCGTAGGCGTGGTCGCGCGGCGGGCGGTTTGGGCGGGCTCGCGGGGGCTGGCGGGGGCGCGGGGCCTGGCCACCCCCGCCGCTCTGGCCAGGCGCCCCTATGGCCTTTCCCAGGTGACGCGCCCGCACCGACTCTCCGCGGGCGGAGGCGACACCTATGATCCCTTCGGCGACCTTCTTAGCCCGGCGCCAGGTGAGTGGCGCCGCCCGGCTCTCTGCTGGACGCGTCTGGATACAAGGAGACCGCGGGCCGCAGTTGAGGCTGCTGCTAAAGCGGGGCGCAGCGTCGGTTCCCTGAACCTAGTAACACATGTCACTCAGCACTAGGGGCGAACCCGGGGCTTCGCACATGCCTGGCAACCCCTCTACCACTGAGCACCATTCTCAGCTCTTTTTATTTTGAGGCACGCCCTTGCTAAGTTGYTGAGGCTGGCCTCGAGTTTGGGAACCTCCTGCCCCAGCCTTGAGTAGCTGGGATTACAAACGTGCGCCTCTGCGCCCGATTGAGGACTTCATTTTTTTAACCATGACAGTAGACCTGTGTTTCTGTTGCCTAGCTTGATATCACAAATAACAGTAGCCTGGCTCCGTTTTAACCGAGAGTCTTGAAAATGAACTTGGCCAAGGGTTTGCATCTTACCAGTATATAAGGTGAGCGCTTTTTGTATGCTTAGTTGGTTATTGCCGATTTTCCTGCACTGGAATATGCACTTCTTTCCGGGCATGCTCACAGTTGTATTCCCAGCACCTGGCATTCAGTAATTATTTGTTGAATAAATGAGTGGCCAACCAAAAGTGAATTTAAGTCTTGTAATTTGGAGTCCCTTGATTCCAAGTTTCATTTTCTGTGTTTAATTAGTAGCAAGTAACTATAATTAATTCATCATTATCACTTGCTTGTATGTCTTATTTTTTAGAAACTAATAATAATGTGCATGAGTCTCTGGTGAACTTTTTTGTTGTTGTTACTACTGGGGATTGAACCCAGGGATACTTTACCATTGAGCTGTATCCCCATATCTTTTTATTCAGGGTGGCTGTGAATTTGAGATCTTTCTGTCTCAGTGTCCCATCTTTATCTTCCAAGTCCCATCTTTATCTGCCAGGCACGTTCCACCACATCCAGCTTTCAGCTCTCCTGTGAAGGCTTAAACCACTGTCTTTAAGCTAGAGCTCCTACTGTCTTTAGAGCTCTAGTGCATGTTGGGGGTGGGGGGCTTACCACTGAATTGCACCACCCGGCCCTTTTTTTTTTTTTTTTGAGACAGGATCTCTAATTGCTCAGGCAGGCCTGTAAACTTGCTATCCTCCTTTCTCGGCCTCCTGAGTTGCTGGGATTATAGGCATATGCCATAGATGGGAACACTACCATAATTTGAATGTGATTATTTGTTTTGTTTGTTTTTGTTTTTTTGTGGTGATTACATTTGTAATGATAGCTAATGTTTGTTCAGGGCTTACTACTTGCCAGGCACTGTGCCAAGTGCTTTACAAAGCTAATGTTGCTTAATCTGCACAATTTTAACATGTTATAAGGTGTATGATGTAGTTTAAAAGGAATTRTTGTAGGTAACATTTATTGTGAGGTATGAAAATAGCATCATGGGGGCTGGGGTTGTAGCTCAATGGTAGAGTCCTGCCTAGCACATGTGAGGCACTGGGTTTGATCCTTAGCACCAAAATATAATAAATAAATAAATAGTGTCTACTACAAGTAAAAAAACCCAATTAAACAAAAAGAAAATGGCATCATGATTATTTAAGAAATGTTCATTGTAGCAGGGCTTTGTGGTACATGTCTGTAATGCTACCTACTCAAGAGGATGAGGTAGGAGGATTACAAGGTGGAGATCAGCCTTGGCAACTCAGGAAGACTCTGTCTCAAAATAAAAAAAAAGAAAAGGACTGGGGATATGACTCAGAGGTAGAGAGTTCCTGAGTTCAATTCCCACCCCCTGCCTTCCGTACACACACAATTTCAGTTTCAGAGATATATAGAGAAATATGTAAAGGGAATTTTTTTTTTTGGTCAATAACAAAAAGGAAAATTGAAGCAGATGTAGCAAAGTCTTGATAATAATGGAACCTAGCCACTGGGTATATGGGAGTTTATTGCATATTGTCTTTGGGTATATGTAATTTTTCCTTAAAAATTTTGTTTTTGAAGGGGTATGTTGAGTTTTCACCAATACAGTATTGAATTGTCCTTGGTCAATTGAGTGTGTATGAATATGCAAATGTAGTGGTAATAAACATTTAGGGATTTAGTTATTTTTTTTTTTATATTTAGTTATTTTTTTAGTTCTCCGCGGACACAACATCTTTGTTGGTATGTGGTGCTGAGGATCAAACCTGGGCCGCACGCATGCCAGGGGAGCGCGCTACCGCTTGAGCCACATCCCCAGCCCAGGATTTAATTCTTTTTATAAATGAAAATTCCCATTCCTTAATAAGGAATAATAAGAATTATTTATATTTAAATAGTAATTATGTCTTGTTTACTTGGTTATTCCAAAATTGATGGGACAGGGGTGGGGTTGTAACTCAGCGGTGAAACATGTGCTTAGTTAGGCCCTGGGTTTGATCCCCAGTACCATACCAAAAAAAAAAAAAATGCTGGGACAAGATGGGGGATAACATTGTTGATTGGGATAAAGAGAAGATTGACATGAAAGGGTGAAAACTAAAAACCAGAAATGGGTTTATTTATGGTAGCCGTGGAAGTTTTAGAAATAGACCCACATTTTCAGAATTATGTATGATATGACAGAAAATGATAGAAGTAGAGTGCATGGTATATTTAAACTTATTTTAAACATGTAATTTGGAATTGGGCTCAATGGTACACACCTGTAATCCCAGTGGCCCAGGAGGCTGAAGCAGGATTGAGTGTAAATAAAAGCAAAAAGAGAGAAGCAAGCAAGGTACAGGGGCAAAGTAAAAGAGGCTGCTCCTCTGAGCTGCCAGCTTTATTTATATCCATAGATTACATTAGGTCATTGGCATCATTAGGACATATTGCTTATTGTATAAAGTTACTATTATGTGGGCAGGTTTAGGCACAGTGACACATTGGTGTTATTTAAGAGTTCCTTTATTCCCAGAAGCTGAGTGTCTGAGATCAAGGTTGAGGTTGATAAGAGTCTAGAACAGAGCCTCTTCACAAAGGACATTACCATAGCAGCTAGGCATTGGGCATGTATTAGTCATTTTACTAGATCCAGGGAGAAATTGCAGAATAGTCCAAGTGTGGAAAACAGGGCACCTGTTACCCTCTAGGAGTTTGCATACCAGAGGAATGCTGCCTTGTACATTTCCATAGCCAGAAACTTACACCAAGTTCGAAGTCAGTTTCAGCAACTTAGTGAGGCCCTAAGCAACTTATCGAGATCCTATCTCTAAATAAAATATAAAAAAGGGCTGGGGGGGGGCTGGGATTGTAGCTCAGTGGTAGAGTACTTGACTGGCATGTGCTGGGTTCAATTCTCAGCACTGCATGTAAATAAATAAGAAAATAAATAAAAGGGCTGGGGATGTTGCTCAGTGATTAAGCGCCCCTGGGTTCAATCCCTGGTACAAAAAAACAAAAAACAGTAATTTGATACATTGTTATTTAAAAAAAAATTTTTTTTTCTAATTATACGTGGACACCATGCCTTTATTAAACCCAGTGCTTCACATGCTAGGCAAACTTCACATGCTAGGCAAGCACTCCACCACTGCCCTACAACCCTAGCCCTGATACATTGTTATTAAGAGTGAATAAAACAATTTATTTAGAATTGGCAGCAAAATAATATAATTATTTGTGAGATACACTTTGGCTGATTTATTGAGTTTTATTTTGATGTTAAACTCTTTTCTGTGTGTAGAACATTGGATCAGAAGTTGAGCATTACACTATTGAGAAACAACGGAAGGAGCTACAGGTGCTCATTGGAGAATTGAAAGATCGAGATAAAGAACTCAATGATATGGTTGCTGTGCATCAACGACAACTTCTTTCATGGGAAGAGGATCGGCAGAAAGTTTTGACTTTGGAGGAACGTTGCAGCAAATTAGAAGGTCAGAAATGCATTCAGCAGCCTGAATAGTGCAGTCCTGTGTGCCACATGATGAAAGGACTTATAGGGAAGAGAGAGAAGAAATAACACAATTCCTGCTGTCCTGGAGTTCAGTACTTAACTAAGGGAAAGGTGCTGGGAAACTCCAGTTAATATAGAGTGAGAGTCAGGGGTGTATCTGAAGAAATTTTGAACAAAAATAAGAATAAAGATGTCCTATGAGAAGCCATTTCRTGTGTACTTAAAGATTTTAAACTTTTGGTATTGAACTTGATTCTAAGGATCTAAAATGGTCATCTTTTTAAACTATCATGTTCTCAAAAATAGCTTATAGTGGGCCTGTCACATACCTATATCCCAGTGACCTGGGAAACTCAGGCAGGAGGCTGGCAAGTTCCAGGCCAGCCTCAATAACTTAGCAAGACCTGTCTCAAAATAAGAAACAAAAAGGGTGGCATGTGACTCAGTGGTAGAGTACCACAAAGAGGTTTCTGTAAACATGACAGTCTAAATATGTACCATTTTTTCATTGATGACAATCGGATTTTACCCTGGCCACACCCACACTTGCACACATAYAGTGTTTAAAATGATTGTTCAGCTGGGCACAGTAGCACATGCCTGTAATCCCACTTACTTGGAAGACTGAGGTAGGAAAATCATGAGTTCTAGGCCTGTCTGGGCAACTTAGTAAGATCCTGTCTCAAAAAAAAAATCATTTTTTAAAGGTTTGGAATATAGCTCAGAAGTAAGATACTCCTGGGTTCAATCCCCAGTACTTAATAAATAGATAAATAAAATGATTGCTCAAAAAATAAACATGGGGCTGGGGTTGTGGCTCAGCCGTAGAGCATTCACCTAGCCCGTGTGAGGCCCTGGGTTCCATCCTCAGCACCACATATAAATAAATAAATAAAATAAATGTAAAAAAGAAAAAATAAATAAACATAAAAGGAAAAAGATTGTTCATTAAATGTAGTATAATCTATCTCTTATATAAATTTGGTAAAAAACAAAAATAACCTATATGACAAAGATAATCTATAGCCATCAGTATATGTTAAAATGAGACTTAAATAGGCATTTCTCATTCTCATTAGTAATTAGGGAAATGCAAATTCAAATTCAGACAATAATGAGCTGCCTTTTTACATTCACTAGACTGGTAAAAATTGTCAGGTGTTGGTAAGATATGGAGCCAAGTCCACAGCTGTCCCACCTGAAATACACTTGTTTTTTCTGATTTTGGAAGCACAGGAGAGTCTGGCCTGGTTAGTACCTGGGAAGATTGGAGCCAAGGGAAGGCTCATACACTGCTGGGGGGACTCAGCACAACTACTTGGGGAAATCGTTTTACAGTATCTAGTAAAACTAGAGATAAATAACATTTCTTATAAGAAATTTTCCAGCAATTGGAACATGTTCCAGCAGTGATTCAGCAATTCCACTTTTAAGTGGAATTAACATGTGAATTGATAGCAGACCTAATATGTAGGTAGACTCTGGGCTAGGGTGTGTCTCAGTGGTAGAAAGTATACTTACCATGTTCAAGGCCCTGAGTTCAATCCCTAGTACACATACATAAAAAGTAGATTCTGATATAGTAGGTCTGGGGCCCAAGCGTCTATTTCTAACAAATTYCCAGGTGATGTCAGAGCTACAGGTTCAAGGACCACATTTTGGATAGCAAGACTCTAGAGAAATTCTTGCAAATATGCACCAAGTTGCATGTTAAAGAAAATACAGAGCAGCATTGTTTAAAATAGCTGCAAAGTGCTCTCTGCTCTCTGTCCTCTTCCTCTTCTTTCTTTCCTCTCTGCTGCTCTCTTTCTCTGCTCTCTGCCTCTCCTTTTCTTCCTCTTCGGGCAACCCCCACTCTTTTTTTTTTTTTTTCCTTAAAGAGAGAGTGAGAGAGGAGAGAGAGAGAATTTTCAATATTTATTCTCTAGTTCTCGGCGGACACAACATCCCTGTTTGTATGTGGTGCTGGGGATCGAACCCGGGACGCACGCATGCCAGGCGAGCACGCCACCGCTTGAGCCACATCCCCAGCCCGAACCCCCACTCTTGATTGGAAAAAAAATAGCTGCAAAGTAAAAGTAAATAAATTTTGGTGTAATAATTTAGTGGATTATTATGTAGCTTAGTGACAGACATGAGCTATATAAATGTGAATAATCTCAGGATCATAATCTTAAGTGAAAGAAGCAAATAGAATTCACACAGTTTAATTCAAATTAAACTATAGTATTATAGTTTGAAAATGTTTTAAAAGAATTATCTTCTAAAAATGTCTTAGTTCAAATTAAACTATAGTATTTATACACTTAAAATTAAACTATATACAATATTATATATGAATCTTTTTTTTTTTTTCAGTATTGGGGATATAATCTGTGGCCTTGTGTGTGCTAGACAAATACTCTACCACTGAGCTTTTTTCCCAGCCCAGATAAAACTGTATTTTTAAGGGATGCAAGGAAATGGAGCCAAACAAAATGGTGCATGTCTGTCATCCTAAGGACTTAGGAGGCTGAGGCAGRAGGATTGCAAATTTGAGATTGCTTGGGCAGTGAAGACCTTGTCTCAAAATAAAAAGGCCTGGGGGTGTAGCTTAGTGGTTCAGTCCCCAGCACCCCCCCCCCCATAACACACACACACACACACACACAAAAAGGCAAGTAAATGATTAATTACTCAGCTTATGGTGGTTTCCAGGAAAGTGAAAATTGGAGCCATTGTGTTCAGGAAGTGATATTTAGGGGGCTTCTGTGTTGCTCCTTAAAGAAATGTTTCATTTTTTTCTTTGGTACCAGGAATTGAACATAAGGACACTTAACCACTGAGCCATATCCCCAGCCCCCCCCCCTTTTTTTTTTTTTGAGACAGGGTCTCATTAAGTTACTAAGTGACTCGCTGACCTGGCTTTGAACTTGTGATTCTCCGGCTTTAGCCTCCCAAACAGCTGGGATTACAGGCATGTGCCATGGCAAGATGAAATTTCTTAGATGGTTGAAGCCAATCTTGAACATCTATTCATGTTGTGCCAGACTTCCTGAGAAGGAGCCACTGCGGGTACAGGTGTGTGCCACCATGCCTGGCTCTCTTTTCTTTTTTTCTTTTTTAGAACTAGGGATGGAACCCAGGGGAATTCTACCATTGAGCTATATTCCCAGCCCTTTWAAATGATCATGCTAAGTGGCCCAGTCTGCCCTTGAACTTGCAAGTCTCCTGCTTCTACCTTCTGAGTAGTTRGGATTACAGGCTTGTGCCACTGCAGCCTGCCATTTTTTAAAGTACAATACAGTATTGTGTATTTGCACAATGAAATGTGAGTAGTTTTTTTGTTGTTTTTGGTTTGTTTGTTTTGTTTTTTGGGGGGTATTTTTAGTTCTGGGGACTGAATATAGGTCTCACACAGCCCTTTTTTTAATTTTTTTTTTTCTATTTTGAGACAAGATCTCATTAGATTGCCCAGGCTTCTCTTGAAAATGTTTTAAAAGAATTATCTTCTAAGAAATGTCTTAGTGCACTTTTTTAAAAAATATTTTTAGTTGTCAACAGATCTTTATTGTATTTATATGTAGTGCAAAGAATTGAACCCAGGGCCTCACACATGCTAATCAAGCACCAGACCACTGAGCCACAACCCCAGCCCTCTTAATACACTTTTTACTCTTTAACTACTGCCCTTAAAAATACTGCCTTTTAAGCATCAGATCTAATCACAAGTTGTTGATGAAATTTCCCCCAGGTGAACTACATAAAAGAACTGAAATAATTAAATCACTCACGAAGAAGGTAAAAGTCCTTGAGTCCAATCAAACTGAATGTCAAGCAGTCCTTCAGAAGACTCAACTACAGCTTCAGGAGATGGCTCAAAAGGCAACACATTCTTCCCTCCTCTCTGAAGACCTTGAGGTTGGCTTTATTTTTTGATAAGCTTTACTAGTCCAAATTCTGTGATCCAGTTATTGAAAAATTAGATGTAAATGTTTCCATTAAAAATTCATATGCATGTATGTAGGAAGTTATGTGCATAGATGTATATCTATATGCTGTTAATATGTGTGTAGACAATCTCCATCCATCTGTCCGCCCGTCCATGCATCCATCCATCCATCCTAGTTTTGTATTCTTCGTACTATTTTAGTCAGAAGCATGGTACTATCCTATCATGGAGGTTAGGCTTCCTTATTACCCTYGTTGAACTGTTTTGCCATTTGGTTTAATAGCATCTACCATTTTATCCATAATGGATTGTTTTGGAAAGCCTTTCTCAAAGTCTGAAATGAGTTTCATCAAGTTTTGATAGACTAAATTTTGCTTTCTAGGCAGGTGCAATGTTGCACACCTGTTATCCCAGCTCTTTGGGAGGCTGAAGCAGGAGGATTGCAAGTTCCAGGCCAGCCTGGGTAACTTAGTGAGTTCCTGTCTTAAAAAATAAAAAGGGCTGGGTATGCACCTTAGTGGTATAGTGCCTTGGGTTCAATCCCCAGTAACACACATTTACACCCCCCCACACACACACACACTTCTACTTTCTAAATTCTGAGTTTATCTGTTATGATAAATATATCTATATCATGTTAATAGTATATTAGTAATAATATCTGTAAGACTGATTTTGTGTGTCTAATTAGTGAGTCAATGTATCTTTTTTGAGCTAATTTGTTATGAGGTAGAGAAAAAGACAGCTGTTTTTGTTGTTGTACTGGGGATTGAACCCCAGGATTCTTAACCACTGAACCACATTCCCAGCCTCTTTTATTTTGAGACAAAGTCTCATAAGTTGCTTAGGGCCTTGCTAAGTTGCTGAGCTGGCTTTGTACCTGTGRTCCTCCTGTCCCAGCCTCCCAAGCCTCTGGGATTACAGGCATGTGCCACTGTGCCTGAAGCAGCTGTTTTTCATATTCTTGTTTCATAATAATATCAGTACTGATCTTGGTAATATAATGAGCCTTAATTCATAAGCATGTAGTAAGCATGTAGTTTTTTTCAGTACTGTTCTAGTTCATTTCTAGCTATAAAATAAGTAAAAAATGATTCTAGAATCATTAATATGTTGCATGAAAAAAGGAAGATATCTTTAATAAAATTTATTATTTAGAATAGCTTTAGGGTCATAGTAGAATAGAGCAGGAAGTACAGAGAGTTCCACATGTGCCCTGTCTACACACACACACACACACACACAACCTCCCCTCTGCAGATGGCCTGCATTGCAGTGGTATGCTTGTTAGAATTGATGAGTCCAGGTGTTAACATTTATGTAAACTAAAGCCCACAGTTTACATAAGTGTTCACTCCTTGTGTTTTATATTCTACAGGATTTTGACAAATGTAAAATGGTGTATATCCACACCCCACAAAATGCACAAAATTCATTAAAACTACTTTATTTCATGGAAGCAAATCTCTTACGCATCCAGTTCTCATTTTTTTTTCTTTCTCCACGATCCAAAATTATACATTAAAATTTTAGGAAATGGACATGTTTACAAACATAACCAGTGTAATTCAGTATGGCAAATGCAAATATTGAGAGGATGCTAGAGTTAATGAAGAAATGGAAACCTGTATTCCTTTTTGATGATTCTTACTCAGCCTACTTTTTTCCTTAAAAAAAGTTAAACAAAATAGGGAGGTGAGCATGGATTGTGGCTAGTAACAAATGAAAAATTTAAAAGGACTCAAAGAGTATTTTCTGTGTTGTTCCCTTGTAGGCTAGAAACGAAAATCTCAGCAACACATTAGTGGAACTTTCTGCTCAGGTAGGACAATTACAAGCTAGAGAACAGGCTCTCACTACAATGATAAAACTTAAGGTAATTAAAAATAATTGTATCTCCAGTTGCCAGAGCATTTTGTAGTTTACAAATCATATTCACATACTTTATCTCACCTAAGTCCCTTAGCCACCCATAAATGCAGAGCTGCCAAAGTTGATTTTGTTTTAAATTCTTATTTTAGAAATGAGAAAAACAGGGCTGAGGTTGTGGCTCAGTGGTAGCGTGCTTGCCCAGCATGTGTGAGGCATTGGGTTCGATTCTCAGCACCACATATAAACAAATAAATGAATAAAGGTCCATCGATAACTAATAAAAATTAAAAAAAAAAAGAAATGAGAGAAACAAATTTAAAATCATGTCCCCAAAGCATTGAGAGAGGAGGTAGAACTCCACTTCTGGACATTTGTCTCCGAGGCCTATTCCATGGCCTAGCATGCCTGAATTGACTTGTTTTCTTCCCAGGTATTCATTGTTAGGTATTGTGAAGTTATTGGCAAATTGCTTGCTAACCCTTTTTTTTTTTTTTAAATGGAGAGAAAAGCTGTCATCAGTCAGAGAATTGATATAGTCATAATGTTATATAAAGTGATCTACAATCTCTTCTAATGTAACATGTCTTTGATAGTTGGTAACTAGGGGATGAGGTTGAATGATAATGCTAATTCATTTGTAATTTTTCCCAACACATTGTTTTGACGTGATTATGGGCAAACTTTTAAATTAAAGAACAAATATCAAAATCTACAAATTAATTTAGTGGCATTGGTAACAACATGGTTGTGGGACATGGTTGTACATGCCTGTAATCCCAGCCATTTGGGAGGTTGAGGCAGGAGGATTTCAAGTTTGAGGCCAGCTTTAGCATCTTAGTGAGGCCCTAAACAACTTAGCAAGACCCTGTCTCAAAATAAAAAAATAAAAAAGGTTTCAGATGCATCTTAGTGTTAAAGCACCTCTAGGTTCAATCTCCAGTAACAAAAACCAACCAACCAGTATGCTGTCCATCTTAGCAAACTCTCTGGCAAAGCAGTGAGTATTAATGAAGATGCTGCAAAGATATTTCCCCCCACATTAGAATAGTGGATTTGTGAAAAAGCAGCACATGGAGAATTGGAGTTTTTATTTTGATGAAAAATAATAGTATTAGAACAAATGCCCTGTAGGGCATGCTTATCAGGGGAGAAAGGAGCCCTAGGTTTTAGGCTGAAAGAGATAGAGTGACAGTTGTGTATCTACTGGCATTGATAGTTGTGCTGTTGTATTAGTAGGACTTTGTGTGTGTATATGTTTCCTATTGGTCTGGTCATGTAATTCAACAGTTTTTGTTAGTTTGGATGTTTTGTTTTTCAGGCCTGGGAATTGAACCCAGGACCTTCGACATGCTTGGCAAGCACTGTACCACTGAACTACACTCCCAACCTTTCCATTGTGTTTTTTTTTTTTTTTTTTTTTTGGTACCAGGGATTGAACTTGGAGGCACTCAACCACTGAGCCACATCCCCAGCCCTATTTTATATTTTATTAGAGACAGGGTATCTCTCACTGAGTTGCTTAGCACCTCACTTTTGCTGAGGCTGGCTTTGAACTCATGATCGTTCTGTCTCAGCCTCCCAAGCTGCTGGGATTACAGTCGTGTGCCACCGCTCCTGGGTCCATTGTTTTTTTTTTTTAGTATAATTATTTTTAGTTATAGTTGGACACAATATCTTTTATTATTYATTTATTTTTATGTGGCGCTGAGGATCGAACCCAGGACCTTGCCCATGCTAGGCGAGCACTCTACTGCTGAGCCACAACCCCAGTCCACCATTGGTTTTTGAATGGTTTGCTCCAACCCTTTTTATCTCCCTATAAATCCTCCTAATATGAGATGTGCAGAATAAGTTTTTTTTTTTTCCAAAATGCATATATGATGTTGTAGCAAAAAAATGCTTATGCTTAAGTAGGGGTAAACCTGTTAATAATAGTTATTTCAGGAGAGTGGGGTAGGTTGAAAACTCTTATTATTTTAGAYTTTTAGGTATTGTTTAACTGGATTTTTAGTACATACCTATTTGTGATTCAAAGACCCTCAATAATAATATTTTCTAATTTGGCTGTGCTCATGGTAAGTCTTGGAGTCCTGTCTCCCTTTTTTAGTACTAGGGATTGAACACAGGGACACTCAAACACTGAGCCACATCCCCAGCCCTTTTTTGTATTTTGTATAGAGACAAGGTCTCACTGAGTTGTTTAGGGCCTTGCTAAATTGCTGAGGCTGGCTTTGAACTGGCTTTGAGATCCTCCTGTGTCAGCTTCCTGAGCCACTGGGATTACAGGCATGTGCCACCATGTCTGGCCAGAGTCTGGTCATCTTAACGAACTGAAAGAAGGGAGGAAATGTTGGACTTAAGGGATTTATTTGTAATGCAGAGAATAATTTCCCAGTCCAAATGCTGCCACCATTTCTCTTGCTGTGCCAGTATGTTAGGTCATCATATTGTCTGGTTCTTAACTTTCCAAGAGACAGTAAGGTATAATGATAGCACATGGCTTCTGAGGTCAGTCAGCTGGGTTCGAATGGTGGCCCCATCACTAACTAGTTGTACAGTCATGGCCAAGTAACAATCCCTTTAGGAGTCTGTTGATTCCTCCATCGCTCAGCAGTAGTAGTGTCTACCTCATAGAGTCACAGTGAAGATCAATGAGTTAACATGAAAAGTGCTTAGAAAGAAACTGGGGCACCATGAGGCCTGAGTAAATGTAATCTTTTCTTACTGATTAATTGGAATTTTAAAATGTAGCTTAACAGTTTTCAACTTGGTTTTTAGGACAAAGATATTATTGAGGCAGTCAATCACATTGCAGATTGTTCGGGTAAATTTAAAATGTTAGAGCATGCTTTACGTGATGCTAAGATGGTGGAGAATTGTATTGTGAAAGAAAAGCAAGATTATAAGCAGAAATTGAAGACACTTAAGATCGAAGTCAATAAATTAAAAGGTAAGGAAGAGATGCAAGTGTAAGATGGTAATATGCTATGTTGGGAATATATTTCTTCATTTGGGTTCCCTTCATCTTAGAGTGAATGGGGTTGTTCCTGGCTTTGGGTTCTAACATGAAATGTCTGTTTCATTTACATGGAATTAT